TCGCGAGTTTTTTTCCTCTCAAGACAGTAGAGTAGGACACAGTCACGTGAGATACATGCTGAACAACCTTCACAATACTTCTAGGAGCCGGTGCGTCCACTACACCTGGATCACGAAGCACAGCAAAACATCTGCTACAACTTGTGGAGTGCTTTTTCTATTATTCTCAACTGTGCTGGTACGGACCCGAGAGCGACTATGCATTATCCTGTATACTCTAAGGCTGAAGTAAGTGGAATCCTTCATTCTTACAGCATGTACATACCATGAACAACCATGTTCAGCTTGACGGCATTTAAGAATGAGTCGCCCAGGATCAGACTTCACTGTTTTGACCTCAAAACATCCCTTATGCGAAGCTCTGTCAACCAATACTCGCAACGCCTCTTTCGATCAAAATTCTTGATTCTTCTCAAAACCAGCACCATCTTCCCATTCAAGAACAAACTGAGTCGGTTGTAAAGCCCCAGGAGGCTCTACGTTATCATGCTCATCCATACCATATTCTGCAGACTCTACATGTTCATGATCATCCGGTTGTGAAAGTACATCATCAATCACTATCTGTTTCTCAGTCTCAGGTACAGCCACAATAGCAAGTTCGTCTTGTTCTTTCCCTGCTTCCTCGATTTCAAGCATAATATCGCCTGTTTCTAGCTCCTGAATCTTATCTCTTCCCAAATCTTCCATTATCTCCACATGCAACACAGATTTAAGTCCCTCTCTATCCACAGTTGTTAGATAGACATACACATCACCATCATCAACAATACATAACTCATTCAGTGGCTTAGCTACCAACGGAATGTAGCTTAACTTGAGCTTCTTCTTACTATCGTTTACCCCAATCTTCTTGCATATACCATCTACAACCATCGAATATGTAACCTCATCCAAAGAGGTTTTAAATGATATAGCATAGATGGAGCTTCTTGATATCCATTTAAACTCCTCTCCTTCCTTATAATAACATCCTCCATACTCAAAATGTATGTTTCTGTGGCCGCTCATCCTCTTTTGTTCACAAAAACAAAAAAAAATAAGTCATAAACGAATAACAATATTTCCTATTTCTCACAGGTGTACCAATTGTACCAGTTGTCCCACATATCTCAATCAGTTATCCCCATTGTACCAGTTGTCCCAATACATTCCAGGTCCCAATTGTCCCAGTTGTCCCAGTTGTCCCATTCCTTTCAGTTAACCAATTGTACCAGTTGTCCCAATTGTACCAGTTGTCCCATTCCATTCAGTTAACCCAATTGTACCAGTTGTCCCATTCCATTCAGTTACCCGAAATGTACCGGTTTTCCCATTACATTCAGTTACCCCAATTGTACCAGTTGTCCCTTTCCATTCACTTAACCCAATTGTACCGGTTGTCCATTTCCATTCAGTTAAGCTAATTGTACCAGTTGTCCCATATCTCACTGATTCACTATACAAACCTACGATTCAGCTCGATTCAACGGTAACAAGTTAAATTTTAACATTCAGAAGATTAAATCGACATATAAACGCCACTCTACTAGCCAATGTGCAACCTAAAACGACCAGAATTGACAAATCGATTACTAAACCATAATCCCCAAACTGTAGAAGAAGTATACCTAATTACAAAATGACGGCAGAGAAACGAGAATTGGCGAACACCACGGGTTCAGAGAAGGCCAGCGAACCGTGCCGAGCGATAATAAACGAAGACGGATTCGAGATTCGAGCAGATCAATCGGGCGATTTCTGGGGAGATTTTCGATTTCGGGTTTTGGTTCAGGTGGTTAACCCAAAAATTGAGAAAAACCAGATCGGTTTTGGTATTAGAATTTTAGAATTCTAATTTCTCAAATTTTCTCGATTTTCAAAAAAAAAAAAAATCAAGAATGCCATCTCTTCTTTCATTAAAAATATTTTCGGAATATCACGTCCCTTATAGCACACAGACTCAAATGTGGCAGGGTATATTTTTTTTCTCTCATTTATGACTTTTCAGCCATTAACTCAAAAATGCTACATCTGAAATTGATATTCTTAATTAATCAATTTTACATATGTAATTACTTGCATTAATATTCTTTTTAAATTCATTAACTGTTGGTATATCCCACTACCCAAAAGAAAGTGACTTATTTGTCCATTGACTTCTCAAGCTTCTAATAAGTCTTCTCATTTTCTCTGCTCTACAAAACTCTCTCTATATATATATAGTCCCAAGCTTATCCTCAAAACTCACTTCATAATTTCATGAAATCAATGGCTTCAATTTCTTCAATTCTTCTTCTCCTTCTTTCACTTTCACATCTCCACTTCACTCTACCTACCGGAAATAACCACATCACCGACAGAAAATCCTTGGAAATCATCATCGGCGGCGGCAATTCACCACCATCACCTTCACCGGAACCGGGACCTGAACCTGCAGATTGCCCTCCTCCACCTCCTCCTCCTCCATGTCCTCCCCCACTTCCTCCTCCATGCCCTCCTCCACCTTCCCCAAAACCACCACAATCTCCTCCGCCGGAGCCGCCGCGTTCACCGCATAAACCACCAAAATCACAGCATAAACCGTCACATTCACCGCCCAAACCGCATAAACCACTGTTAGTCTTTGAGAGCAAACTACTAGAGAAAGCCTACCCAATCCTCCAAGCTTTCAAGAATCTAGTCGAAGACGATCCAAAGAATGTTCTTGATTCTTGGAATGGCTCCGACATTTGCAAATACCGCGGACTCGAATGCGCAATATTCCCGGGAACAAAAGACCTGGCTGTCGCGAGCGTCCAGTTTAACGAGTTTAACTTCGCTGGCAAGAAACTCCGGTTAGATAACTTCCTCGACAAGTTAGAAACTGTCACGATCTTCCACGCAAACTCCAACAATTTCTTAGGCTCTGTGCCTGACGTCAGCAACTTGAAATACTTATTCGAGCTCGATCTAAGCAACAACAAACTCACCGGAGATTTTCCAGCTTCTGTCTTAAAAGCCAAGGATCTCACGTTTCTCGATCTCAGGTTCAATACTTTCTCAGGCTCTGTTCCTCCTCAGGTCTTCAATCTCGATCTCGACGTCTTGTTCATCAACAACAACAATCTTGTTCAGCAACTTCCAACCAATCTTGGCTCCATCACAGCTCTTTACCTCACATTCGCCAACAACAGGTTAGATTTCATAGTATTAGTAAAGTTTTTATTTTTATTTTATTGGGTAAATGAAAGTCTTACACTTTTTTTTTCTTTTTGTCTAATGAAATCCAAAAGGGTCATCGTATTGTTTTTAAAAAGAATCAATTGATAGGAACTCAATCTGAGATATGTTATATAGTAAGAACAATTGTGTGATTTATCCTTAACTCGATAGTTTTTCTATATATTGGGGTTGTATGGTAACATAAGATCTATACAAAATAATTGGTCGTAGTATAATTTGGGTTTGTATGGTTACAGCTATTATAGTGTGTGAGTAGCTAAATTATTTTCTTTTATCTTTATTGTGATGTGACTTAGGTTCACGGGTCCAATTCCGGACAGCATAGGCAACATCAAGTACCTACAAGAAGTCCTTTTCTTGAATAACCAGTTAACCGGATGCTTACCGTACCAAATAGGAAAGCTAAACCGAGCCACTGTTTTTGATGTTGGGTTTAACCAACTAACCGGTCCTATACCATACTCTTTTGGTTGCTTGGACAAGATGGAACAACTCAATCTAGCCAGAAACAAGTTCTATGGAGCCATACCAGAGATCGTATGCGAGATTTCTTGTCTCAAGAACCTTTCTCTCTCCTATAATTACTTCACTCAGGTCGGTCCAAAATGTAGACAACTCATCAAGAGAAACATTCTGGACGTTCGTATGAATTGTATACTTGATCTACCAAACCAAAAAACGTCACAAGAATGTGCTGACTTTTTCATGCGGAAACAGACTTGTCCTAATTCCAAGTCTATGTTTCGTATCCCTTGTGGTAAGAATCCAAACCGGGTTAGACTGGATCAAGAACGATTAGAGGACGAAGAAGCTCAAGTTCCTTCTCCGGTATCTTACGGTGCACTCAACCCGGACCGGATTCGGAATCTATAAATAACTTTTTTTTTTACAATTATGACGTGCGAAGAAAGCTATGTAGCCAAGTGTTTATACTTATATGTTTGTGGTTTCTAATACAGTATAACTGAATAAATGCATTTGTTGCGTTGTTACGGATCATATGTAAGGTTCTTGTACGTATGCAGAGTCCATTTTTTTTTCTTTTAAGTACCACTTTAAACGTTACTCTTTTTCACTACAATTTACGTATCTCTCATTTGAAGTCCACTTTCTTCTTTTAGTTTATATGAACCATGCAATATCTCCACTACCTTTATCTACTTCATATCCTAAAATCGATATTGTACAATTAGATTTTTGTTATTAGTATCCAACATCTAGCGAATCTAAATTCTAGTGACTACTTTGATAGATAACCGACAATTTCTATTACTTTCGAAGAAAGTAAAAGCAATGGATGACAAGTTCACCCGCTAATCTAAATTTGGAATTTGGAATTTACAAACTTGATCAATATATACAATATACATAGGTTTTAGAAAATAAAATAAAAGTGGGAGTGTAATTGCAGAAAAGCAAATAGACACTTGTATTATCAATTGTTTAGATATCTTCAACATCTAACCTGTAGCTATGTGTTTTTATTTATGTTTTGGAGCTTCTTAATGGATTTACTCAAGTTATGTTGTTCCTTTTGTGATTTTTTCTTTTAATGGATTTAATCCAAGTTATGTGGTTCCTTTTGTAGTTTTTTTTTTTTGAAATGTTGTTTTCTCTAAATATTTGGCAACTAGTGTAAAAAGAACAAGTTGAACAAATATATTATTGTAAAGAAAGGGCACATCAAGTGACAACCGGTTTTTTTTTTTTTTTTTTGGTTTTGACGGTACCAAGTGACAATTTTTATTTGATACAATTGTTCTTTTGTCATCAAATAATAGATTTAGAAGGAGAAGATCCATAACATCAATTCTTCTCATCAGAAGTTCTCATTTTCTTGCACTGAATGGTACTTATAGTCATGAACTGTTTGCTTACAACCAGCTAAACCAAAACAAGGATCACTGGCAATCATATCCACTCACAAAGAACAGAGTATTACAACATTTGAATTTTGCCAAAAAAAAAAGAAGCACGACTACTACAACAAGGCAATACTATTTTCAGGAAAAAATATCTTTTAACCATTGTGGATAGCCCGAAGCTACGTATGGTTACCGACAATCCCCCTTTGTCACACTTCTAGCATGTTGAGACTCGACCATTCTTGAAAAACTGATGACTTGACTCATCTTCTTTTCTTCATCTCACTTATTGACTATTCTGTATTAAACATACTTTTAATCATCTTTGCATTTTTGTGTCCAATTTAAATAAGCTAAAGAAAACGGAGACGTAACAAGTTGTTAGGGATGTGTTGTTCTACACAAAACAATTTAAAATCTAATTGGTTGTGTTCATTGTTCAACATTCTATTATTCGGTTTTTGGTTCGTAAATCATTATAATGTAAATTGTAATATTGAACTAACTACTACTCTATTACACTAATCTCGATTACAAAAAAAAAAAACGCTAACCATTGCACTAAAGGTTTATATGAGAAGTGACACAAAATGTGCCAACAAACACAGAAAGCCCAAGATTGGGTCGGTTTGGTAAATCAATGACCAAAGGCTTTGGTCATGAGAGTTGCCTCTGGGCTCTCAGTCTTTTTTTTACTATCCACACTCTCCATTCGCCTGCAAACAATATGAAAACAATTTAACACATTGTAGAATCTACATAACGTCTTCAGATTCTAAACAAATAAAGAAAACGACCTTGCACGCTGCAAAATTATCACAACCGCATATCAAATTGCCATTGGCAACATCAACCGCTTGCGGCGCTCCTCCACCATCACTTCTCTGAACCACACACACACACACACAAATGTGATTGAAATAAGACGAGAATACATATTAATCTTCGGAACCTACAACTACCAATATAGATATATACCTTGTAAAAATCGACCGCTATGTAATTAGGCCATCGTTGTCCCGCGGCTTGGTAACATGCCTTGATGGATTCAAGAAGAGGAGCAGAGTTTTGTTTACATGCAACTACCAAATCCGGAGCGTCAGGAAAATGGTTCACAAGAACAAGAGATTTCGATTTATCGCTCATTGGTGCTGATTGAGCTCTGTTTGGACACACTCCTACCTTTAACCCTCCATTTCCATCTGCGAATATTTTTCTTAAAAACATTAACAAAAATGTGTTCATACAAATCATAGTATAATATGGTTTTGTATTATATATGAGACTCACATTGATTCTCAACCATAAAATTCCATTGATATGCGATTCCTTCGGTTGCTTCTTTACGTCTATCGGATGTGAAAACTAGCAACCTTTGGTTTTGGCGTATCATGTCCTCAAGCGTTGGCCAATCTCCTCCATTTTTGGGCATTCTAGTTACCGGAAACATGAACTTTCGTAGCCCGGCCGTGTCAAACACTTTGGTGAGACCCATTGGCGATTTCACATAGTCTTCGATAATAATCGTTACAACTTCCTCCTTGTTACTCTCTAGAAACACTTGAATCTCCCTTAGAACGTTAATCGCCGGTTGCTGCAATTGTGCACCAAAATTAAAAACACACAAATCACCAACATTTTACAATACATAACGAAAGAAAATAAGTATAACAAAACTTACGAAAGCTGTGAAATTAAAACACATTCCGCCGAAAGAATGACAAAGCCAGATATCGTTTTTGAAGTCGTACATGTCGAGCATAAACCCTCTTACACCGTTCTGCAATAATAACCATCAAAGCCACACAAAAAAGATTCATCCTTTGCAAGAAATCCTTTAAAGGGTTTACTAAAGTTTGAAACTTTGTATTGAATATTACAGTGAGTTGGCTTGTGATTGAGTCTTGCTGATTAGTAGGAGCCAAAATCACAGAACCGGTTTTTGATATTGCCCCGAGTCGAGCAAACGAGTTGTGAGTTGTTAACCACGAGTACTTGTTGAAAGGCAACCCTTTTACCTTTTTTTTGTTTATATACAAGCGATAGATTTATCAATTTAAAGGAAAAAAGAAATTGGTCCAAATGATTATAGATTGACAAAAGTAGAAAAGTGTGAACCTTGGAGATGGGGTTGATGGGTTGGGTTCGAGAGCATCTGGGTCTGAGATTATTGTTGGCTAGACATGTTTCGCAGTGCAATCCAGTGTCACAGTTCTTGTTTCTAACACATGTTTTTCCCTCCTACGATACAAAACCAAATAAATCAAGAAAAAAGTTTTTAAAAACAGTTTTTTCATCGAAACCCATTATTCAAATTAAGATCTTTGGACGACCCATGTCGTAGTTATCAATTATTCGCAATATGTTTCTCCAAACCAAAAAGAAAAATGGAATTTTGGGAGACAAAGATCCTCTGTTTTTTCTGTCGGACAGAGGACAGACGCCAAGAAAGTGTTGTAAGTTTGATGCGATTTGCTTACTTTGAGAGCAGAGGAAAACTCAAAAAGGAAAGAAGATTGAATCAGAAGAGCAATGAGAACGAAGACTAATCTTTGAAACATAGTTTTCTTCGCCAGGAAATGAAAACCCAAAACGAAAGAAGAAACGACAGGCAAGTGTAGCTACTTAATCATCATCAGTGTTAAATTGAACTGGTTGTTTGCTTTTGCCTGAAGATTCTTATGAGCAAGAAACAAAATTAAAAAAACGAACAGATATTAAAAAAAAGAAGAAGAATAATCTGAGGATTTTAAGGATAGAAAATAAGAGTGAACGGAAGTGCGCGCGTGTCGGTGAAGACATGACATAATAATAAGTGCTACTGCAAAAGTGGGTTTGTTGGTTTGCCTCTCTTTTCCACAGCCTTTTTTTCCACAGCCTCTTTCTTTGATTTTTATTTATTTTTACATTTAAAAAATATATATATATATGTCCCATATTCTAATATTTTATGCAATTTAGTCGAAGATCTACCATTGGTCTAGAACTCTGAAAACTCGACCAACTGTGCCATTTTAGTTATTTTTTTGATAAATGAGTTTTTCTTTTTTTCTTTCCAAAGCTAATTAAATTACTCGAACTTGAGTTTGGGAAGACTTATTCAATACTCTTCTAACTAATTGAGCTAATTGCGCTTGAATGATAAATTGAAAGATTTTTACTCAAGAAACTGGATATATTACTAATTTTGTTTGGCTATATGAATTACGAACATGTCCAAAAAAGGGAATTAACCCGATGTTTTTGCTTACCACTTATTTACATGATTATGGAAAGGCATACTATCAATTACATCAAATGTGACTGTTAAAAAATAATTACATTAAATGTGGTTTATCTTTTAAAGTTATAATTTGTGCTTAACCTAAGCTGCATGGAATCAGAAGCGGAATCGCAGAAGCAGAGAAGCGGAAGCGTTTAGAAGCAGGGAATCGAATTTTTCAAAAATTCAGGAATCGGGTACGTGTTGGAAGCGTATGGTTTAATGGGCTTAATGGACTTAACATATATTAAACAAATAATTAATTTAATTAAATAATGTTAAAAATAAAATAAAAAACGATAATGATGGCTTAATGGACTTAAAATATATTAAACCTAATAAAATTGACAGGTCATCTTCTTCTATAATTTTAGTCGAAATTTGCAGCAACGCTTTCAACCACGAAGAACACGATTCTAACTCGAAATCGAACGATTCCTCAGTGTTTCCAAATGGTAAAATTTCGGAATCACAATTCACTAACGATTCTGATCGATTCCGTGCGATTCTAATTCCGATTCTGATTCCAAAACGAGAATCGTAGCTTTCTACCAAAGTAGTGCTTAACTACCAAATTTAGAGGAAACCGCTTTGAATCTTAAAGATTGTGTAGCTAAGGAGGATACATGAGATGAGAAGAGTCTTGACGAAATTAAAAGGCAAATATTTTTCACAATTATAAAGTTTGCACGCAATCACATACCTTTTGTTTGTTTGGCTGTCAATGGACCACTTGTAATCCTTCAAATTCGTTCTATAACCATAGAACCCTATCGCCCAAGATAATCAATTGGGCCAATTTAGCCCAGTCTCTACGATTGCAAACCATTTCATTTTTTTGGTGGTATTTCTTTTTTTCTTTAACACAGATAATCATATTACAAATGATGATTAATCGATCAAATTTTACTACTGTATTTGTAGCACTTGCAATAACAATTTAAAGTTCCACTAAAAAGGAATCCACAACGCAAATCTTCCTGCAATACACAGATCCACAACAGACGATTCTACCACATCCACTATAGACAACTCTCCTCACAACACACGAAATTAAGTTCTTTGACCACTGCTAAAATATTTCCACGTCGTTTCTTTATTTATGAAACATTTTTTTTGTTCGAGTCAGGAGCATAATCAATTTAGGATCAGGTATGAATCCAACTTGAAGTTATGACTTAAAACTCATGGAAAAACTGGCACAAGGACGAACCATTTTGATATACAGTTGAAAAGTTTCAGTTTTTCTTTTCAAACGGTCGGTTTTTATTGGTGGGTACTGGGTTGGGAGTTGGGACCCAAACTTCAGCACTGATTCATACTCACATTTGCAAAAAAATCGTAAAATCTGTTATATTTCTCTTTCTTTATTTTTTATTTTTTTAATTCTTTGGATTTTGTAGACTTCGCAAGAATTAGTGTCAACGTAACCCTATGTTAGTAACTAACATATGTATAACCCATTCTACAATCCACATAACCATATAAATCCTTACAATGTCCATAAAACTCTTGTCTATGATGACACTCTAAAAAGAAATGCATACAATATTTATCACAAAAACACTGCATACAATAATTCTAAATCTTTTTAAAAAAATATTGCAGTTGGGGTCTGAGATATGACAGGGTGTACACATGTGAGTGACCCTACCAACGTTATGTAGAGCATTTGGGTTCACATTGCTTCTTCCATTTTTTTTCTCTATATTGAATTCGATGTAGAATTTTATTTTCAAAACTTTAATTAGGATAATCTTATATATAAAAGTTGCTCAACTTTTCCATATGATTGATACATCAGCATTGGATAGATTGACACCTGTCTTTAAATTTTAATTAATAAATTTTAATATTAAAATTTAAAACATTTAAAGAATATGAAAAGTTTGTTTTATTAATTGACTCTTAATTAAAATTTATATTAATGTTAAACAAAAATTTATGTTATAACTAATTAAAATATTGATAGATATGTATTTAATTTTTATATAATTGTAGATTACTTAATAATATTTAGATTACTTAATAATATTCAAGATGTATTTTAAATTAATTTTTTAAAATTATTTATAATAAAATACTGACAAGTAACAAATGAAATGATGATTATATTAATTTTATTTTTTTAATTAATTAACTATCAATTAATATTTCTGTAAATGTTAAACAAAAATTTATGTTATAACTAATTAAAAATATTGAATAATATTTATTAATCTTAATATAACTTTAAATTATTAAATAATATTCAATATGTATTAATATTTTATAATTTTTTAAAATAAAATATTAACAAGTAAGTAAGTAACAAGTGATGATTATATTAATTTTTATAAAAATATAAAAAAAAAATTAAAAATTTTGAAAAGAAAAACCCGCACGTTACATGCAGGTATTCACCTAGTTTAGGATAATTTAGGATCAATCCCAAAGCCATCGAACCATGTAGCCATTTTATCCATTGTGTCGCTTTCTCTTCACCAAACACTTACGAAATGCTTGTGCGTATTAATTTTTTAAATTAAGTTTAACCAAACAATACCTTTCGTAGTCTCCAAGAAAAGGACAAAAGTATAATTAACACATTTTAACATAAAGTAGGGTTATTTAAAAATTAACACCAAATTAGCGTTTGTGGAAAATACTGTTAGTTTACGAGCAACTAATGTTTTTTTTTTTTTTTAAATTTCATAAACCAGTGAAAACAAACAAATGCATGAGATTTCATCATACAATAGATATGATGATGAATAACATGCGAGCTCCATTTTATAAATTCGTTTATATCTATTTAATTATGCATTTGTGAGACACTAATCTTTGTATTAAAATTTGAGTACTAAAAACATGAGTGTTATGAGCTTAAAAATGATAAACAAAGTGGGAAGCCTTAGTCACATGTAAAGAACCTGTGGATGAAAACGAGATGAAAAGATAAGTTAGGGACTTTGGTTTAAAAATTCGTCGTTTTTCATCACGAATTGAATAGTGGTGTGATTCTTTGTCTCTTTCCTTGTCAGTGAGAGAGTATACAGACCCTCGAATGTCATATCACAGGGAGGGACCTTCCATTAACCCTTTTATAATCTCTCTCTCTCTCTCTCTCTCCTCTTCTATTTCTCTCTCTGACTCTCTCTGGTTGCTCTTGGCCATGGCGGTGAATAGTCAAGCTTTCTTGTTGGCATTAATTTCATTACTTGGAACCCAACTGCCTTCACTAATGGCAGCAGGTTTTGTCTTTTCCGATTTTCCACTGTTTGATTCTCTCAAAAAGCTTCTTTTTGCTAATCTTGCTATCGTCTAAATCAGAGGATAAGTGATCTTAGTTTTGATTAAAAATCACATTTTGAGCTTCTGGGTCTCACAAATTTTGAGTTTTGATGGGGAATTTGCATAGTTGTAGTCCATTTGTTGAAATTGGCGGTGGGTTAGTTGCTTTACATGCAAATGCTCTGTTTAGGAATATAATCAGATCTTGAGAACGCACAAAATTTGAGGTTCAATTTCGTAAAAAATAATGATTTAAGCTTAGCCTGTTCAAGCTATGGTGGTTAGAAAGTTAAAAGCTTTGAACTTTTGAACTATCTTTCTCGGTTTTGAAGCAAATCTCCATTGTCAAACTTCGATGGACTCTTCTCTGTTTCAGACAGTAATGCTGCATTGTTATGTGTGTTTGCAGATTGTCCATTGGACTTTAGTTTATCAAATTTCACTCTAGTAGCTTCTGTGTGCTCCAACATAACCAACCGAGGCAAATGCTGCCGCTACATGAACGCTTTCGTTGCCGTATCCGTGGCTCGTTACGCTAACTTGTCAACTAATCTTGGAGTCTCATCAGATTTATCTGAGACCTGCATTGGTTCCATCTCTAAAACCATGGAGCTCTATGGAGTCTCGAGAAACGCGACCAGTTTCTGCGGTTTGGGAACCAAGATCCTTGTTAAGTACAACTGCGACGGTCGAACCAGTGTTACACAAATGCATCAGTCTCCAAAATTCGGACATGTTACAAGAAACTGCAGACTCCCACTTTCGCCGGCGAACCAATGCAGGAGATGTTTGAATTCTGGTATCACTTACCTTCGTGATCTCATAGGTGCAGAGACTAAGAACGTTACGTTGAGTACTTGTCGTGATGCGACTTATGCTGCATTAGCAAGCCGAATTGACGATGCATCGGCTCTTGAACTCCTTAGTTGTTTCTATCAAGTGACAGAGCTTAGCATCCCTTCAGGTTAGATACATGACTGTAATTTTCTTAGCACCAGATTGGTCTTTTTTTCTGATGTCATTCACATATTGACAGAATCATTTCCACCATTGGCTAGTCCAAAACCGTCTCCAAGTATAGTTGGTGTTATTAGCCCAAGCAACAGTGATCATTCTCTATTGACTCCAAGTCAAAGCAACAATCCTTATCACTTAACGATGGTTCCAACCATTGGGATTGTTGTTACAGCTGTTGCTCTTACGTTGCTCGTAGTCCTGGTACTTCTTATCCGTAGAAAAAACCAGGAACTCGATGATTCCGAGAGTTTGGATAGAAAATCAACAAAAACAATTCCTTCTCCCAGGCCTGTATTCAAGATTCATGAAGGTGAAGTAAACAAAAATGAGTCCTTTGTTTTACTGTCATATCAAAAAAGACTTATCCAAATCTTCTCCATGCAGATGATTCTTCACCTTTCCGAAAATTCAGCTACAAGGAAATGAGAAATGCAACCAATGATTTCAACAAGGTGATTGGTCATGGAGGTTTTGGGACTGTTTACAAAGCCGAGTTCAGCGATGGACTGGTTGCAGCTGTTAAGAGAATGAACAAAGTCTCTGTACAATCTCAAAATGATTTTTGCAGAGAGATAGAGCTTTTAGCTAAGCTACATCACCGTAACCTCGTTGCTCTAAAAGGCTTTTGCATCGAAAAGAAAGAAAGGTGAAGAACCATGAATTGTTTGTTTTATCGCGTTCTGCATTTATAAAAATGTTTAAAGTATTCTCATTATTTTTCCTTTTTCTCCCCAATCTTTCAGGTTCCTCATCTATGATTATATGGCAAATGGGAGCTTAAAAGATCATCAACATTGTATGTATATGCTTCTTTTACCTAAGCTTAAAAGATTCATTGTGTTGAAACTTTTCTTCTTTCTTTTCTTTTTCCTCCAATGCAGCTACAGAAAAGCCTCCACTTAGTTGGGAAACAAGAATGAAAATCGCGATCGATGTGGCTAATGCTTTGGTAAGTATTTCAAAGTCTTTCCATCTCCATTTTCTCTAGTAAACTGATATACCCTTTTAGTTTAATTACAAATCTTTTACAGTTTTTGGTTCTTGGCTGCAACGTTGTTCTCTCATCCAGGAATATCTTCATTTCTACTGTGATCCACCTCTCTGCCACAGAGACATAAAATCAAGCAATATATTACTCGATGAGAACTTCGTCGCAAAAGTACGTACCATCTTGCATCATCTGATTCTGTGTCACAGAAACGTTTCAACTTGGATAACTAAAGATGTTTTCTTGGTGCAGCTTTCAGATTTTGGCCTTGCACATTCGTCTAGAGATGGCTCTGTTTGCTTTGAGCCTGTGAATACCGAAATCCATGGAACTCCAGGTTAGGGAGAGAGATACAGAACAAAACCACTTTACTCCTTTTGTATGGAAGCTGAGGTAAAAATCTGATTTTTTTTTTCAGGTTATGTAGATCCGGAGTATGTAGTAACGCAGGAGTTGACGGAGAAGAGTGATGTGTACAGCTACGGAGTTGTGTTGCTGGAGATCATAACCGGGAGAAGAGCGGTCGATGAAGGTAGGAATCTTGTTGAAACTTCTCAGCGGTTTCTTGCGACGAAATCAAGACACCTGGATTTGGTAGACCCGAGGATCAAAGACTCCATTGACGATGATGATGGAGCAAAACAGCTTGAAGCGGTTGTGACGGTTGTGAGATTGTGTACTGAGAAAGAAGGCCGGTCTAGGCCATCGATCAAACAAGTCTTGAGGCTCTTGTGTGAAAGCTGTGATCAATTGCATAGAGGATTTGCTAAAGCGGTTGAGGAAGAGATAGGTCAGGATAGTAGGAAGAGAACCGTTTTGGGATTTCAAAAAAGCAGTAACAGGATCTTTGGTTCATCGTCTAGTACAACTTCCAGGTCATTTTGCAGGAGTTTACCTCACTCTCCAATAAATGGATTCTCTTTCTGAGTTTGTTACTTCTTCTCTATAGTTGGATCTGAAAGTCTACATACTATAAATTATGAATTCATATTGAAAGCTATCATACTCTGCACTCTTAGTAAATTCAGCTCAAAAGATTTCTACATTGAGTATCTCTCCTGTACAGTAGCTATCTTCGGTTACATTTTAGTCTCCCAAGTCCCATACTAAAGCCAAAGTCTTCCTTCTGCTGGGTGTTGTATTACATTGCGAGGCTCTTCTTGCTTTTTACTCTGCCTTCTTACCACGGACCTGTAAGGGTTCTTCTCAAGCATTGGGTTTTGGCCACACATGGAAGCTGCTTCGGCGATTCCTTAAGCTGTAAATTCAAGAAGCAGTATCAGTGAACATTACCATCAAAGAGACAATAGCGTCACATTTAGACAAACACAAATTGTCTGGAAATGTAAAGAGTCTTTTGCTGCTGGTGATGTAGAGACAAGGTTGTTGTATACATGAAATACAAAGAAAAATAAAAGGTGTTACCAAACAAAGAGAGGAAGAACGGTTTTTACCTCATTCTTATGGGTTTTCATAATTTCAGCCTGCATCATCATAGTGGAAGCTTAGTTATAGAACTGAGCCAGCTAGATTCTTTAAGGAGGAGCAAGAAAGAAAGCCAAAATAAATTGGTAGAATACACACCTGTTTTATCTGCAAATCTTGATTCACTTGCTTGAGATTTTCAATCTCGGCTTCGAGTTCCAAGGTGTAAGCCTGTGTTAAACCGTAGCATCGAAATCAATATCAAATATCTTGAAAAGAAAATGGTAATGACAACTCGGATAGATTAACACTTAACCTGCTTTCGAGCCCTTGATCTAGCAGCGGATTCTCGATTCTTGATCATTCTCTTTTGCCTTCTCTCAACAACCTTCTCCAGTCCCGTATTGCTTCTTCTTCCCCGAGTAAACACATATGGAACTGGAACTGGTGATGACCAAGCATTGTTTTCTGCACTACTTGTCCCAGGAGAAGTAGCTGCAACAGTAACCCCTGTTCCTCCCATAGAAGCATAACCACTATTATTGTTGACCCGACCATCATCAGCCTCATATACACTCTTTTTGACCATATTCAGAGGCGCTGCAAATGTTACATTCGCTTGTTTTGGAAAGATAGTTGGAGGCAATCTCTGATGTGGCTGCTGCACTTTAAGGCCTAAACTATTGTTGCCGGTGAATGATATGTTGTTTTGATTCGGCTGACCAAATCCAAATTCCAAACCAGCAGAAGCACCGTTGTTATGATAAAAACCGCTACTGTCTTCGTCCATTTGAGTAGAGTTATTATCTTCTTTCACAACGCCAGCGCGTAGCAAAAAATCCTCTAAAGTAATTGCCCCTAAAGTCTGTTGCCTCCCAGGTGCATCAGACCCACAGCTATTTCCCATATCCCCATTACCACTCTCTTTGGACATCAAGTTTTTCCAGACCTCATCAACAGTTTTCTGACTAAGCGTTCTAGGCAAAGTCAAGGAGCCTTGCCTCTGTAGAAGATTCCCTCCCGGGACAAAACCAGTACTAGGTTGCACAGCTGCAATGGAGGATGGAGTTGTCATAATGGCTTGAGTTTCCTCAGCAGTCCATATGTTCTTGAGGAGCTCATCCATATTCATTGACCCAAAATCTTTCCCTGGCTCACCCAATGTGCTCTGAAGCTCATCAATTGTTAAGGCATATAACGAAGACTGCCTAGCTAATGGCTTTGACTGGTTATTGTTACTCCCATTCCCTCCAGAAGAATCTTCGTTTAAGTTGTTGAAATTGATTTGAGTACCCATCACTTCTTCTTCAGTCTAAAACCAAACGGATCAGATCCCTTTTTAGCTTTACCTATAAGAGAGCAAAAGACCAGACAATTTGGGTGAAACTGAAACCGGTTCAAGAGTAGATCACACAACTTATGTATCACATTGTGTTTATGTATACTTGCATAAGAGCACAAGCCAAAGATAGGAACTTTCATATAAATGTGTAAACTGTATATATTTTATAGTTTTACACAGCATAAGCAATAAAGCATGAACATATAAGGAAAGTTTGAACCATAGAGTATAAATTGGATCCTTTTCACATATGTGTGTATCAGAGCAAACATAGGATCCTTGGTTACAGAGCAAACAAAAAAAATATTAAAACCAAAGTTCAAAGCTTTGAACATTCTTGAAAGTTTCTAAATGAATTCAAAAGATAAATCGAGAACCCAACAAGGAAATGATGGATCTATTCTAGATTCCAAGAAGAAACACTAAAATCGGATCATAAACCCTCAAGAAGAAGAAACAAAAAAAAAGTTGAAGAAGAAGACTCCTAACTCTAATAATTCCACTACCAACAGTTACTTCTTCGTTACTACTAGTTGATTTACAACACACAGAGAAGAAAAAACAGATCAGATATTTAAGAATCGGACAAAAGCAAAAGGAGATACAGGGGATGATCAGACAAAGACAGATCTCAAAATATGGAAAGCATATATAAAAAATTAAAATTTATTGGCGATTTGAACAGATAAGCTTAAGATTTGTCACCTAATCTCTTATTGGCGATTGCGGAAAATCAAGAAGATTTGCGGGAGAGAGGAGACAAGTGTGCTTACTATTGCCTCGACACGAACTGCCATTTTAAGGGGGTAAGCTTTTTTCCTCTTAAGGGTTTTTTTCTTCCATTTTTAGATATTTTGATTTCATTTTTTGGAATATATTAATAAATATCCTGTTTAATCATATTTAATTTAGTCACTTAATTTAGCTGACATTCACGTCGACGACGACTAACCAATTAGAAGATGAAATGTGTGAGAATATGAGTTGTTGATGGTCTTTACTTTCTCACAATGGTTAGTATGTTGAAGCCTTGAAGGAGATCGTGTTTGGGGTTTTCTTCGAACTTTTTTCTTATTTGAATTAATAATTATATTATATTATTTATTTACAACCATATGTTACTCTTGTTGGAAAATAATTTTACATCGTTCTTATAAAACTGTGATTATTATTTATCATTTATTATTTATTATTTATTATTCATAAGATGCTGGCGAGAAAGGTAGAGAGTGGGTAGAGTGATTCGTTTGGTCCCATGGTGTGAGAATTTTGGTGTCAAACAATAATTATTTATATTTTTCCCTCTCCTCACTGTTGCGTCGAGTTTAATACAAATTCACTTCTAAATATGGAAATTTTCCCTCTCCTCATTAGGTAATTGGTTTTGTCACACAATGCTAATTTTTACGTCTTTTATAAATAAGTTTATAAATTATTTAGGTGAACGTCTACTTTTGTGCTTCGTTGGACCAACGTATAGAATGGGCATCTACCCATGATTAGATTCGAGTCCATCTCCATGTATACATATAAATTTATAAAATCATTGCTATTGGAATGCTGAAAATTTTCTGTTAAGTTTTCGCTTTCTTGGGGAGCAAAACATTTTACTATTCAACAATTCTCTAACACTATAAAGTAAAAAAAGTTTTTATAATTTTCTTAAAATGATTACTATATTGTTAATATATCTTGAAAATAATTGTAATAGCGTATGGAATTATATAATCTCGATAAGGATACTGAGGGGAAAAAAAATAAAAACAGCTTTGTATCTTAATTCTCTTTGAAGCCGAAATGAAAATATATGAATGTTTACAATTTAGATCGTTTTTATTCTTTATGTTAAGTGTTAATATGTAATATCATACAAGAGGGACAAAACAGTAATTTAAATCGAAGTTCGGTTTTATTGATATCAGATCAGAATAAATACAACTGAGTTTGTTTCCGAGGTGGTCATTTAACAAACTAGGACTTAGAGAATTGAATGCTCAGAAAATCTATTAGCTCTCAATCTCTAGGTCTTTGCAGATTCTTCTGTGTCTTTGGTGTCGATTCATCTTTCCTTTTTATATATGTTTTAAGTCGGTTCAAAGGAATTCCTTTTCTGATATGGGATTCAAAAAAGTTTCATTTTCTCTAGATTTATGGAAACTCTCCTTATTCCCATCAGGAAGTTTCCACCCACTCAATATTTACGGGTCTAGGTCGGCCCATGAGTTCACTCGGCCCGGTTCTCTTGGTATATTACCATCGTTAACCGGACTTAATTACTCTGGCGTTCAGACGCTAGTTATTGAACTCCCTTATATCCGAGAAAAGTTGGGGTGCGGTTTTCACCTCCATGATTAAGTTTGTAATGCACACATTATTCATAGACAAAAAGGAAAAATAATGATTTATTATCCTTGATTGTACATGCACAGTAATGCTGGACTCCACATAATATAAAGGAGTTAATGTATGAAATTATCCTCTTAAGCATGGTTTATTGCCAAAGTATCTTTGGATAAGTCTACCTTGCTAGATTATCCTTATAAAATTTTTCAATGTCCATTTTAGCCCGAAGTTAGAAAGTATTACAGAATTGCCATTATTGATTATTTTGTTTTATTTTTTAAAAGATATTAATAAAAAAGAAATAGGTTAAGAGTGTATTGTTGGTTTCTCAACAATAAAAAAATCGATAGCGGCGACGAAGGAGAGCGACGAAGGCGGCGAACAAGGAAATATTTTTCCCGACCAGATTGCGGCGGGGACTGAAGTTTTTCCAGTAAAAATCTTCTTCCTCACACTTCTCTGTTCTTCCCTCTTTGTTTACGGATGTTTCTGCGCCGTTCGAAGTGTCTGCAGACGCCGACTTCTAGGGTTCGAGTCGTCTGCACATTTTGAGGAGTTGCCGGAATTACATTTCAAAGATTACCTCGTGGTGAAGTTTTAGTATGCGGCGGCAAGGATTACATAATGACTAGCTTTCGTCGATTCGGCAAAATCTAACCCTAATTTTTTAGTTTTGCAGGTGTTAAGGAAATTTCTGGTGGGTTAGAGGAAATCCGGTGAAGGTGAAGATTTGCGGTGAGTCAGGGTTACACTATAATCGATTTATTGTTAATAATGTGGTCTATTTGTTATTTTATGATGGTAGACTTAAATGGTATAGTAAATGAGTAGTAGACTTGTTTTTATAAAGAGTAGTAGACTTGTTCGTAAATGAGAAAGAGCAGTAGACTTGTTCGTAAATGATGAGAAAGAGTAGTAGACTTGTTCAATAATGATAGAGTTATGATTGGTAGACTTGTTCGTAAATAATTGAGAGTGGTAGACATGTTTGTATAGAGATTGGTAGAATTGTTCGTAAATGATTGAGAGTAGTAGACATATTTGTATAGAGATTGATAGAAATTTTCGTAAATGATTGAGAGTGGTAGACATGTTCGTATAGAGAGTGGTAGACTTGTTCCTAAGTTATTTTGAGATATTTGATGTCTTGAAGAGATGCCACACATGGACCAACGAGAAGAAGAAGATGGTGGCTTTGCTGTGGATCTTGATTATTGGTGTTAGGGCGATACATCGTAATAGTAGACTCCCGTTGTGTGCTGCGAAAAGAGTGATGGATCAGTCAGCGTTTGAGAGATATTCGTGGGGTCGTTACGACTTCACACAGCTAATGAAGTTTGAAGTATGCTTCTGAGATGTATGATGAGGTCCACGAACCAGATGAAGCATTGATGTATCCAAACCCGTGTGGTGAAGCCGCAGACAAGTACGGACCCGACACAAACTCGGCAAAATGAAAAAGATGGGACGAGGTAAACTTTTTTGGGATCTAATATTCGTCTATGGGTAAACTTATTTTTTATGTTAAACACTTATGACGGTAGATTTGTTATGTCTAACCTTGATGAAGGTAGACTTTTATTGTTTTGTACGTCGAACTCTAACGATGGTAGACATCTATGGCGGATTGTTTTAGGACATGTTGATGAACTACACTTTCAAAGGACCATATTTTTTTTTGGCATGATGTTGGTCCTTTGAAATTTTGGTATATTTATTGTTAAAACGGTTAGTTATTAGAATATTTTGCATCAATTAGGTCGACAACTATTAAAAAAGAAAAGTAGGCCGATACAAGTGCTTCGAAGAGAGTACAAAATGCAGAAAGTCGTATAAGTCCAATAGACCGATTATTACAAGATAATACTGAAAAAGTTAAACTTAGAAAGTTTAGGCTTTACATGTGACATGATTATGTCCACTTTTACTACAGTTAGAGCATTTAAGCATCTGTCTTGGACGTTTGTTCTCTATGGCGATCTTGAATGCACTCTTAATGCGTGTCTTCTTTGGCATACCTGGAGGATTGCAAACGAAAGGAGGATGACAAACTTTGTTAGCCACTTTTTCTAGCACTGGTAGTGCTACATCTCTTGGCATTACACAACCTGCATAAGCATGTTGCAAGTAGTTTGTTTGGTAGTAGGGATGGCATAGGGAGATTCGTGAAGTTTTTTTTGCTTCCGCAGCGGCTATGGCATGTACACAAGGGATTTTATCAAGATCAAACCGACAGCAAGTACATGTTTTTTCCTTCAAATTGACAACATGGGCAGAAGTTGTGCCCATAACCTCTTACTGATCTGCATCAATAACTTGCACAGCCAAAAGTTTGGCATCTTCAACCCTGACCTGTTTACGATGTTAATAAGTCTATTACAAATGCTACTTCAAATAATATGTCTACCATAAAATATTAAATAAGTCTACTGCAAATGCTAATTCAAACAACATGTATACCATAAAATATAACTAAGTCTACTACGAACACCCACCCATTCTTCCTTAAAAACCAATTATCACTTACCAAAATCACTTGCTCCATGATTTCAGGTGATCGAAGGAAATAACTTGTAACAAGATGTGGAATGATGAAAATAACTTGTTATAAAGAAACAAATACATGCAACAAATTTTCAAGTATCACAGTTCGACAGCTGCAACCCTAATCGAAGAAGATGACACAGTCGGGTTTTTTGTAATATTATGAACAAATTTAGGCAAAAAAGTCATTTTAAATTTCAAAAAAGTCAAATATCTACTATAAAGAAGGTTCATAAATCTACCATTCACCCAAATATTTATAAGTCTACTAAACTGAAAAATATTTTTCAAAGTACAGGTTATCTGAGTAAGAACAAAATACAAACATAAGTCTACCATGATTGTAAATCACAAATATTAAATCTACCAAAATTTAATAAATCTACCATACTTATAATTAAATCTATCACATTGTTTTTTGAAATACGACTGTTTTAAATCTACCATACATACTAATAAATCTACCAACTCCTGATAAAGCTACTATAAATAGTAATAAATCTACCAAACAAAATAAGTCTATTGTACATCAAACTAAATAAATCTATCACCATTACATATAAGTCTACCAAATTTTAAGATAAATCTGTCGTCATTACTATTTAAATCTACCAAAAAGTCAAATACTTACCATAATTCAACAAAATATTCATAAGTCTATCATTAAAGATAATAAATCTACCAACAATGAATATATCTACCAACAAAAAATAAGCCTACTATGCTATAAAAACTTGTCTACCAAAACAAGTTTACTAAGTTTCAACAAATCTATCATCTCTCAAATAAATCTACCAACAAAAATTTGTGTTGACCAACTTTGTACAAGTCTACTACAAATAGTGGTAAACTTAAGTTTAATGACGCGCTATTTTTTGCTTATGTGATATATAAAAAATAATGGTATTTTCGTAACAATATTTTTCTCATCAAAGCTCAAAATGGCAAAATTAGTATACGAAGTTAGTCTAGTATAAAAAACAAAAATATGTTAAACTATTAATAAACATAAGTTTGGAAGATACTTGAGTAATTCTCTTTATATAAAGTCGTACACGGTACACAATATGCTTCTTTTGCAACATTGTCTTCTGTTGTTTTGTAAACAAATGTAGGAAAATCTAGTAAAAACCATAGTAAAGTTAAAACTTAAAAGAGTATGTATGACCACACAGTTTACATGCCAAATGATCATGATAACATTTTATAAAGCTTATAAAGCTTGTATTCCGATGTTTTAAGACATGTTTTCTGAATTCTATAGCAACTAGCAAAGTACTTATTTTATGAAGCTTCACACATTGTCAGATGGTCGAACATATATTATTTTAATATCTTTGTGTTTTTCAAGTTGGTGTATATATGAAAGAATTCTATGTGAAGTCTGTCAATTTTGATATATTATTTATTTGTCTGACTAATATCTGAATGACGAAAGCTATGGCTAATCTGCCAGATATAATCTTCTAAAACGCAACATGTTCCTTTGATGATAAGCTGAAGGTGATATTTGAAGGGCACCATGATCAAATGCTTTCACCATTTATCCAACATAATGTATACCTCTCTTCTTAGACTTTGGAAAATTTGGTAAAATCGAAAATGTGTTGATGAATCTAGATTGATAATTGGATTAAAAATCTGCAATAGGCAATAAGTGATCAATAGGCAATAAGTGATGTTAGTGAGTGGAAACCGCCAATAAAAAATCGATATTTGCATAATTTTTTTTTGAAACATACCCAAAAATCAAACACGTTAAAAAACAAAAACTAAAAAAACCAAAAATCAAAAATACGTTGGCGAATTTATGGCTCCGTCGATGACCAATAAACTTGTGCTTTTGACTTTGAAGCAAAGCCTGAAAAATCAAAACATATAATTAAGGGATAATTAATTCATTTTTCTCAATCTTATGATAGTCTCTCAATGGAAATCAAAACAACATTTAAACCCAACACTACCAAATCTTTCTCTTTTAATCAGTTAACGAAATTTGACCAAAAAAAAAAATCAGTTAACGAGAAAATCTTCCTTCTTTGAAACCTCGGAAAAAAATAGCAAAACCTAAAATTGTTGTTCTTCTCACCGAGATTCGTCCTGTTGATTCATATGGGTGTTTTCTCGAATCTTCGAGGACCCAGAATTGGAGCTACCCACAACGAATTGCCGGTAGCAAATGGCTCTCCTTCTTCCCCTTCTTCTTCTCCTTCCTCTTCATCTATTAAGCGAAAATTGTCGAATCTGTTACCATTCTGCGTGGCTTTAGTAGTCATCGCCGAGATCGGGTTTCTGGGTCGGCTCGATAAAGTCGCTTTGGTCGATACGTTGACCGATTTCTTCACCCAGTCTCCGTCGCTCTCACAGTCTCCGCCGACGAGATCCGACCGGAAGATCGGATTGCTTACCGAGAGCTGCGAGGATTGGTTGACGAGAGAGGATTCAGTGACTTATTCTAGGGATTTCAATAAAGATCCGATTTTTGTCTCCGGTGGTGAGCAGGTAAAAACGCCACAGAACTTAAAAAAAAAAAGAAATCCTTTTTTCTGTCCTCTTTGATCTGGAAGATGGATTGTTAATTTACTTTGGCTAATCTAATGTTTGATCACTCATTCTCTTTTGGGCATAGAAAAAAAACTTATGCTTTTGCCTGATGGATCATACATACACTATTTTGTGAATCATGGATTGAGCAAGAATGATTAGCTTCATATCTCTTATGGATGGATTCACTATATGTGTTTTGCTTGTCTTGTGATGGATGTTAAGTTCAAATTTTCTGCTTCTGAATATAATCATTTACTGAGTTCAATTCTCTCTTAATTTGTAGGACTTTAAATCGTGTTCTGTAAAATGTACATTTGGAGATAGCTCAGGTAGAACACCGGATGGTGCGTTTGGATTAGGTCATCAACATGGAACCCTTGGTATAATCAGATCCATGGAATCAGCACAGTACTATCCAGAAAATGATCTCGCACAGGCACGACGGTGGGTAAGCACAATCTTTAACAGTACTTAAAAAAAAACCGGTTTTTCGACGACATTTGTTTTGGTCGAATGTTTGATAAATGAACTGACTTTGTAATAACTATAATGTTCTTGTTCATCAGGAGAGGTTATGATATAGTGATGACCACTAGTCTATCATCAGATGTTCCTGTCGGGTATTTTTCATGGGCGGAGTATGATATAATGGCTCCAATACAGCCTAAGACCGAGAAAGCTATCGCAGCTGCTTTTATTTCCAATTGTGGGGCTCGGAATTTCCGTTTGCAAGCACTTGAAGCCCTGATGAAGACTAGCATCAAGATTGATTCTTATGGTGGTTGTCATCGGAACCGTGATGGAAAAGGTAAAGTTGAATATTAAACCATACCGTTGAAATCGAACACTGGGAGATCAACAAGTCATTAGTTTGATGTGATTCGTATTCTGTCAAATTCATGTAGTTGACAAGGTTGAAGCTCTTAAACGATACAAATTCAGCTTGGCTTTTGAGAACACTAACGAGGAGGATTATGTCACTGAGAAATTCTTCCAATCTTTAGTTGCTGGTACGTTTTAGCTTCCTTCTCTCTTTGTGACCATATCTTACAAATCCCTATAGGTGAATCTTTAACTAGAACGTTATATAAATCACGTTATATAAATCACTAATCAATAGTGGTTGCTCGTATTTTCCAAGTTAGAGAATCTAACTAATGTTGTCTTCTTGCAGGATCTGTCCCTGTGGTTGTTGGTGCTCCGAATATAGAAGAATTCGCTCCTTCTTCTGACTCATTCCTTCACATCAAGAATATGGAAGATGTTGAGCCAGTTGCAAAGAGAATGAAGTTTCTCGCAGCTAACCCTGCTGCTTATAATCAGACATTAAGGTCCGTTTTTATCCATAAATGATCGTAAATGTGTGTGAATAACTTCTTCTTGAAAGCTTCATGCTTCTGTTTTTTGTTTTTAGATGGAAGCACGAGGGTCCTTCAGATTCTTTCAAAGCACTTGTTGACATGGCTGCTGTACACTCATCTTGTCGTCTCTGCATTTTCCTGGCTACGAGGATTCAAGAACAAGAAGAAAAAAGCCCTAATTTCAAGAAACGACCTTGCAAGTGCACCAGGGGAGGATCAGACACAGTTTATCATGTTTATGTTAGAGAAAGAGGCCGGTTTGAGATGGAATCAATCTTTTTGAGGTAAGAAAGTTTACCCTAACTGCCCACTTTAAGCAAAAGACATGATATATGGTTATGTTAATTGCTCTCGGAAACCGTTCTTGTCCAATCCAGGGGTAAAAATCTGACTCATGAAGCTCTAGAAACTGCGGTTATAGCCAAGTTCAAGTCTTTAAAACATGAGCCTGTGTGGAAGAAGGAAAGGCCTGGAAGCTTAAAAGGAGACAATGAGCTTAGAGTACACCGGATTTACCCGCTTGGGCTCACGCAACGACAAGCTTTGTACAACTTCAAATTCGAGGGAAACTCGAGTCTAAGTACTCACATTCAACACAACCCTTGTGCTAAATTTGAGGTTGTCTTTGTGTAGTTTCATTCCCAACAAAAATCTATATAAGTGATTTATGTGTTTTTCAAATATTATTAGTTACCATTTAAATTTTAAATTTTGACCAATAATTTATTAGTCGTATTCAACTCACTAGAACTTAGAACTACGAATTATATGTACAAAATGAGTAAAATATAGAGGAATTAATACATTGATCGCTGATTCTATATTTGTATGACTATTTTATTTTTATAATTTTAAAAGCAAAGGAAATAGACTAAGCAACAACATGAATCTAAGTCCTTTGAGAATCAGGGAAAATCTTTGATTATTTGATTATTTAAAAAATGTAGACAGAATATTCGATTATAAATTAATGTATCACATTATAGTATTGGTAGTTCAAAATATATATATCCTATACAACAACAAATAAATATTAGAAAATCTTAAAAACCGAATCAAAACTATAACTAACTCAACAACCACAAAGTTTGTTTATTTCGCGCAATCTCCGATTCATATTTAAACCAATGAAACCTCATTAATCACTTGAAGCTTCCTTTTCGTCAAAAACAAAAACAAAAAATCTGTCTCTTGTTGGATTTTTCAAGTTATGAGTGGAAATCTGAATGTTTCGAAGATCATAGATTCTGTATGGTTTTATTCTTTCTTTCTCCCCAAATCCTTAAAAAAATCGTAACTTTTCTTATATGGTTCACTTTGTTTCAGATCAAGGGAAAAATCGAAGCATGTATTCAAAAGTACATGAGTATGGAACAAACTATGACATATTTACATGAAAATCACCAGATTTATCCACCTCTGGTTACAGCAAGTAAGTAAAAAAAAATTAAATTTGATTTCATACTCTGAGGAAAATAAATACCTAAAATATATTTTCAGTCTCCTGTAAAGTTTTTGTTTGTTTTTATTTTCAGTTTGGGAACGTCTTCAAAGAGACAATCCAGATTTCTTCAAAGAATACAACAAACGATGCGAAGTGGCTCGTCAAATAGCTACATTCAACGATTTGCTTGCTCAGCAAGTATACCTGATGCAGAAATTTAGAGAAATTGAGCTTAGTACTACTGCACCAGGTTAGTGGTAACAGATAAACCACTGTGTCTATCCTTAAGATTATTACTTAAATCGGTTTACGAAAGATCGATTTTTGTGTGTGTCTTTGTAGTAACACAATTGCAGAAACCTAATTGTCAACTTCACCATCATGATCAACTTAATCATCATCATCAAGATCAAATTCATGATCAGTGGATTGCACAGTTGCAGAAACCTAATCGTCAACTTCACCATCATGATCAACTTAATCATCATCATGATCAAGATCAAATGCATGATCAGTGGATTGAATCTACTGATTATACTTATACAGAGAAGTTAATCTCTCCTCTCATCGATCCGTCATTAATTGCTGCACCACCACAATCAGAACCTTATGCATATAGTTTTGGATACTGTAATGATTTTGAAGGTCTGAGTTTTGAGAATTTTGCTAGAGATTTAGATCAGCAACCACAAAATCTTCTAATGGAACGACAAGAATTGTACTATCCTCAAGAAGATCAATTTGCAACATTCCTTCTGCCAAAACAGCTTCCAGAATATGAGACTTGGAACAATCTTGATTTTGGTACATTAGCTAAACTCTATACACAAATTTGGTTTCTTCGTCTCTAATTATCTTATCTTGTTTGTTGATTTTATGTTTTTGGCTCTCTAATCAGGTAATGGATCGACCAACAACAACGGCTCAGATCCGACATATGATCTGCGAAAGTAAACATAATCATCAGAGAATGAAAACAGCAAAAGAAATTTGCGACAAAAATAAAGTAGTTGTACATATGAGCTTTTCTTGTTTTCTTTTTCGTTTCTGTCAGTTTTGTATTTCAGAAACATATGAAATTAACAAAGCTGACAACAAAGTATCGTTTTATGAAATCAGCTTTTCTCTCTTTGATGTATATTTGTTTTGGAATGCAATTTCAAGGATCATCTTCTTACTTACTCTTTGTAGATAACTAGATGAAGACCCGCACAAATGCACGGGGCTTTTCGAGTGTTTAATTTATATATTTTGATATATATGTTTGATGTTTTTCATTTTAGATGGCATTGTTATGTGGTTAATGCAGTTTTTCTTGTAAGGAATACTTAAACTTTTGCAGGTTTTGGTAAAAGAAATTTATTTCTTCATTCATATCAGATATGATTAAACCAAAGAGGTTTAAGACCTTGAACATTGAAATCAAGGAACAAAATTGATTGAAAAACAATACCATATCAACAAATTTAATTAAAAAAAGCAAAAGTTGTATGTTATATTCTACGGTTATTTGAAACCAACCTCTTTTCTGTTTCATTACTTTTATTTTTTGCTATTCTTATTTTCCTTCTTCCACATCATATTTTTTTCATTTAATATTTCGTAGTGTAACTAAAAAAAAATAAAAATTAAGTGATTATAGAAAACACAAAACAACACTACACTGATTACTAAACTGGGTCAACATTGTTTGTCCTAGTACTTACTGCATTCTTCTACTAACCATGTATTAGTCCTTTGAAGTTGTCCATGTCCCTGCATAAGAATCCAAAAGGAATTCTTCACCCTTAATTAACATTACTAACCATGTAGATTAGTCATTCCATTTAATCGATTTTAGTAATAAATGTTAATTAAGGGGTAAGGTTGAACAATTTGACCAACATAATGAACTTAAATGAATATCTTATATATAAAACTTGGCCAACTCTCTCCAGTTGAGTGACACATCAGCGCTGGAGAGAGCGCCATCTGTCATCTTCAAATTTAATAAAATAGTTAAATAATTATATTTAAAGCAAACACAATAAAATATATTAAAAACATATTAAAACACATTAAAACACATTAAAAACATAAATAAATATTGATATATATTTATATTAGAATAAATTCAAATTTAATTTAACTATATACAAACTTATAAATATTATATAATACAAGACTTTTTAAATGCACAATTCTATTTTTTTAAATGTTTTAAATTTCATTTATAAACTAAAACTATAATTAAATTTTAATGCAAGTGAAAAAAAATTATGAGACTAAATAAGTTAAATTTTTTTAAATAATCTTATACAAAAATTCAACTAATAAATTATAAAACACAAAACATATTTAATAAACTATTAAAAAGATAAAAGTTATTAAAAATAATAGTAAAAATAAAGATATCCACATAAAAATGTCATCTATGGTTTTTTTTTAAGTAATAAAAAAGATGAAATCAATAAAATATATATAACCAAAAAAATCAAATATTAAATTAAAAAAAAATAACAAATATTATATTAATACGATTTACAAGAATAAAAAGAATATAAAGATCGAAGAAAAAATGAAACTATTTAATACAACTGGTGTAAAGGAGATTACATATAATATATCATCAAGAAGAAATATAAAAAATATAATTATTTTAGACAAAAATACATTAATAATAAACTTAAAGTTCAATACAAATTATTTAAAATATCAATTCAAACAAGATCCGCGCATACGCGCGGGTTCTCTCCTAGTTAAGTCTAAAAGTAGAGAAAAAAAGAGAAGCACATGTGCATTAACTAATCGTGTAAACAATATACAGCTAATAATTTTTTTTTTTCAAATCTAATGTGTCAAAAAATAGAGTGTTTATGTGACTAAACTGAGTCTTTATATAATAGATAAGAACAAGATTTACATAATTTTTTGGGCGTCTGTTTCTGTGTGAGCAATTAATAAAAAAAGTCTAAAAGATATTTGGATAGATTATTGATAAATACATTAAAACTTCTATAAATTAATAATGTCGGGACTGTAATATTCTATTAATTTATCGATATAAAAATCAGCCCGAAAAACTAATATGGGGCTTAAGAAATGTATTAATTTATCGAGGTATTAATTTATCGAATATTAATTTATAGAAGTTATACTGTAGGTCCAATTTAGATACTACAAAATAGTTAATATTGTTTTCCATATTTTTGAATAATTATAATAATAGCTAACGCATAATATAATATATGGTTTATAAAATGTTATAATTAATATTGTTTTCCATATTTTCGAATAGACTTTGAAACCCTAGATTGATTGCCTTTAAAGCCTTAGACTAGAACCAAAACACAAACAATCTTCTGAGCACAAACTCTATGATTAGAGGAGACACAAACTCGGATTCCATCCCGATTGATCTCGTCAACGATATATTCTCGAGATTACCTGTCAAGTCAATCGCAAGGTTTTGTTGCTTGTCCAAGCTATGGGGCTCCATGTTTCACAGTCCATATTTCACGGGTTTGTTCCTGACCAGGTCCTCTGCTCGGCCCCAACGTCTCTTGTTGGTTCTTGAAGGAGAGAGCAACGATGAGTGGTGCTTCTTCACGTCGCCTCAGCCTCATATTCCATATGAGAAGTCACCATCTCTTGTAGTAGCAGCCGATTTTCACATGAAGTTCCAAGGGAAGTTGCTAGAATTTTATTGTCGTGCCTCTGGTTTGTTCTATTTCCGTCGTGCATATACTGCGTTAGAACGTTATGTGACATGTAACCCTTGCACGGGACGGTACTTACCTATACCTAAAGGGAGAAGAGCATTGTGGAGAAGTTTTTTAGGGTTTGATCCAGTTGACAAACAATTCAAGGTGTTTTCCATTAGCTTTCCTAACTATGATGAGGGAAAGGAAAATCAGTATCGAATTATGACACTAGGAACTGGAAAAGATTCGTGGAGGAAGATCCGTTGTCCCTTGAACCATGTTTCTACATTACATTTGCCTGAAGGGATATGCATCAATGGGGTTTTGTATTACTTAGCTCAGCAAATCCCTAAGCAAGCTGGTGGAGAGTGTTTATATGTGATAGTTTGCTTTGATGTTAGGTCTGAGAAATTCAGGTTTATGTACAGAGATTCCATGATTTATCGGGAAGGTGCTACAATGTTCAACTACAAGGGTAAATTAGGCGTGAGTACTGTGAAGCGTGATTATTATACTAGAACCCTTGACGTGTGTATGTGGGTTATAAATGATGACGAGAAACAGGATTCGGAATGGCCAAAATACTTCTCCTTTTGTTGGGACGATAAAGTTGTTAATTACTTTCATTTGGAATTGAAATCGAAATACTTCTCCATCGTTGGAGTGACTGCTACAGGTGAAATTGTTTTCTCGCAAGAAATTGTTTCTACGCCACCGTTTTATGTTTTCTACTTGAATCCCGAAAAGAACACTATTCAAAGAGTTGAAATCCAAGGTTTTGGGTATAACCAAATAGACAATGAAGACTGTTACAGAAGAGTATTAGTCTTTGTAGACTATGTAGAGGATCTCAAGTTTATTACTATGAAGACAACATACAGTGCTGCAACGTCTATAAGCCCATCAGAACAGAAGCGTGATGAACCCATGATCACATCTTCTGAAGCTCACCTGCAACAAGAAGATGGTTGTACGTTTGAGATCATTAACAGATTTGATTCTCTGCGTCTTTTAGATGATGATGATTTTACCTGATATTGCTTCCCTTTCTCCCTAAGTCAGGCTTATAAGCTATATTTTAAGCTAGAAGTTGTATTCTCTCTGTAAACAATCAAGTAGTTATCAAAGAAAATTAAGTTTTTATGCAAGTCAGAGCCATGGCTGAGGTTGTATTCACAGCTATTTTGGCTGTGAGTGTGTGACTTGTTATTTACATATTATTATTTTTTTTCTTACGACACTTCTCATTTACAGGTTTCTTGTGATTTTTATCACTCTGTTGGTTTACCGTTTGTTCTAATCTGGTTACACGTTAGTTTTGGGGGTTGTTGTCTTCTGTTGGTAGATTGTAATATTTCGAGGATTTTGTTTTCTTGAGATACAAGACATGATGATTACTTCTGTACAGGTATATGTGGCAAATCTTCGTCTTAAAGGAGTTGAAACAGATGTGTTAGTAACTGCATATGAACCTATTCTCATTAAGTCCCATAAACGTTTTACCATCAAGTTTAACTGAAAATGAATATGAAGTGTAAATTTTTCTGATACAGAAGTGGAAAATCCAAAGCTTTCTTGTTGTTGTTTGTTCCACATGTCTTTTTAAGTCTGTCTTCATGTGTTTGCATATTGCTGTGGGTGCTGGTTTAGCTGTCCCATTTACTAAGAAGAGAATGATGACTAACAAACCGATATTCAATATTTAGTATCAGAAATTAGATAGCGATCAACTTAAAGACTCGCGGATAAAAGTCGGACCACAAACGAGTTCGTAATAATACTTAACTTACAGAGAATGAGTCTTATAAGACATTTCTTAATTTAGGACCACAAGTAGCATATTGTTCTCTAGATACTTAGCAAGATCTAAGCTCTTGTCTACTTAGATAAGCGTGGGACAATGAAGTCAACAAGAAGACCTGTTGGCGCTATGAACTGAGACTCGTCAGCAGTAGCCGATGCCCTGAGAAACATCTCGACCAAAGACACGTTGATGAATGAAATTTTCTTCTTGTAGCAGATCTTCACACTCGCAACATTAACTCCATCGATCCTCTCCACTCCACAGATAATCACATCTCTAAGTCCAACATAGCTTGTTTCGTCACTTGACGGGCCACGGTAAATTCCCTACCACACAATATCAATGAAAAAGATCAAAACTTTTGTCATTAATCTCTGAATTTTTTTCAAAGTTTAGCTAATAACACTTATTACCTCTCCAACACGATCAATCTCAGGACTGAACACATGCAGTTTTGCTCGTACGGGTTGATGCATCAACAGCACAAATGCTTCACCCAATTCTTTAGCCTCAGCTACTTGTCCTTTCATTGAAACTCGAGGTATGTGAGAAGAACTTGGTGGGGCTTTTGGTAACCCCTCTTTCAATGCAAACTACTCGAGGGCTTGTTTAACAGTGAGCTTGCTTCCCTGACCGGATTCCTTCTTGGGAGAAGCGTTTTCCACCAAAAACTGAGCTGAGTACTCAGTAAATTCCTTGTCCAGCTTCAGTATAACCCTTGCAGAGCTTATCAGATTAACTGCTACCATAGCCGCCCTTTCAGATTCATCTGCAACACAAAAACAAACGAAAATGTGAAGTCAATGCATGTGAAATCGATTCATTTTACCCTCTCAAATGATTAGATTGAACTTGTTAGAGGAACTATCAGTCAAGCCAAATCCATAGTGACGCACAGAAAAGTAAGTAATCTCAAGATTATAGACTGATAAAAGTTACCATGATCTTCTTGCGCATTGGCTGCTCGTATGCAATCTGAATGACCGCCTCGAGACATCTTGCAATTACTTAGCCTTGCATACATATGAAATTAGCGGACGACTCAATAACACATTCTGAGTGTAGCTAGAAAATGAATATATAAATCAGAAGCGAATCAAAGTGAACTATACTCAAAAGAAAGGACAAGCAAATGTGTGTGAGACCGCTGCTTCCTAATTTATAATCAAGCAGAATAAGACATTTAGAAAGAAGATACATAAAGCAAAATCAGAAAGAGACCAGCAAAACACAAAAGCAAGCGGAGAGACATGGTTCCAAGTTCGACATTAACATTAACGTTTTAGTTTGCTGAGAAAAAATCGTCGCTTTAGACTAAGCCAAACTAAAAGCGATCTGCTTCTTAACAAATAATTACCAACCTAAAGAAGGATTTAGTATCATTATCCAAGCAATAGTAAAAAAACCCTAAAACATAACCTAAAAGTTCTTCTCTGTTCACTAATCGCACGGGAAAGGCCAAGTCGCAAGCAAAATTCGTAGAAAATCAAAGCAAGCTAAAATGAAACTGTGAAATAAAATAAGAAAGTCGAGAAAGTTGTTACCGGAGACGGAGAGTCTAAAAGGGGCTACGCTCCAAGATGAAGACTGAAACCCATGAACATTGCTATTTTATACAGAATCGCAAAAAACCCTAAGAGTCTCGGACAGATGTCATCATCAGGCACCATCGAGTGCCTGAAATTGATTTGACAGCTCAAGGTCGATCCGTACCAGTCTTCCTTTGCCCCCTTCCGTACTCTGTTTTTGTTGTCGCAGAGTGAGATAGACGTTGAAGACTGTTGACCGGTGGGCTTCAAGCTGGGCTTTTCTTCATCTTGGGCCATTGATCTTTCCTCCTTAGATCCATTTTCCGTTTTAGACATTTGTATGGCTCAAGTCTCTGATTCGTGTGGAGTCTTCGATAACAACGGGGTATCAGAAACAGTGGTGGAAATTGAGAATACGAGTTTACACTCAAATCCTTGGTATCAAAACTGATATCGTTTATAACTTCTCTATATCGTTTTTACATCAAAGATATCCTCTTTCAGATTTCGAAGAAGAAGAATCTGGAATGAAATTCAGAGATGAATAAAAAAATCAAACGAAGAAACGATTCAGAAAATGAAACGGCGCGATTTTAAAGCTCCAAAATGAATTAATTAAATTCAGACTGTGAAGCTGAAATTGCGAGTTGAAAGATGAAAAAAAAAAAAGAAGCTCAACTATCGAAAAAATTTGAGAGAAAGTGGCATCGTAGGGAGCAAGTTGTGGCTACCGGAATATCTTTCTCCGGTGAAAGACTGAAAATAATTAAATCCCGACGGCGAGGAGTTTTATTCAGAGGTTTTTGGTTTCTCTTGATGAGAATGGAAATTAATAACACGAAAATTAATCTATTACTAAAAAAGTAAGACGCATAGCTATATTCAGTATTCACCAAAAGTCCCACATCGGAAGAGACAAGTTTATTCTTATTGTATATATAGGTTTAGTTGACGCATAATGTGCGTCGAGCTCATTAATGCGGGTTTGTGATCCGAGTGGAGACTATAAATGCTGAAATGTTGCGCCGATCTCATTGTGCTCAGTAACGCGGGCTTTCGTTCTAAACCACAGGAGTTTTTTTGAAGAACTCATTCAAAAGCTGGAACCACCGAGTCACAAAACCAGCAGCAAGAAAGCAAATGTTGACGTTTGACGATCCGAGTGGAGACTACAAGGTGTTGGAACTATCATCCTTGCCATTCATTACGTGCTAAATTTTTGAAGTTTTCGGGAAAGAGACTGTGTGTCACACAGTTAACTAAACTCCCTCAAGAATAAAATCGCTAATGTTTATTGATTTCTTGTATTTGAAGTTAGCTCGGGATTATACATCATTTAAAAGCACATTGATGTGGAGGGAACTCCATCTTTCTGAAACCTCCGGAAGGTAATTTCGAAGGGAAAGGGGAGCAGATCGCGTAAGCCATATGGGTTCGGGGTCCTCCAACGTTTTATACGGGGGGAACCTATTGGAGGGAGGAGATTCGGCTGCCGGAAAAGGGAAGCAGATTTTATATGGCTTCAACACAATGTTACTAATGCTATTAGTTTTCCACATTATGCGATGATCATAGAAAAGAGAGGAAAAGTAGGAGAAGACACCTCCGGAAGGTAATTTCGAAGGGAAAGGGGAGGGGATCGCGTAAGCCATATGGGTTCGGGGTCCCCCAACGTTTTATACGGGGGGAACCTATTGGAGGGAGGAGATTCGGCTGCCGGAAAAGGGAAGCAGATTTTATATGGCTTCAACACAATGTTACTAATGCTATTAGTTTTCCACATTATGCGATGATCATAGAAAAGAGAGGAAAAGTGGGAGAAGACAAAAGATCAGGTAACTCTTTTATATCAATATTTGTTTTCTCTTTTCTTTAAGATTAAAAGGTTTGCTTATAAGAGATCAATAATTGCTAGTATCTGTTACTTATGCATTTAACGATCATGCATACGAAATCTCTCGTTCACTATTATTTTTACTCTATAGTAACTTGGCCTATGTTTTTGTGTCTTTGGAATTTTTTTTGAGTGATTCTTTATCCTTTTTGGATTACATTAATGGCAGATTCGGAGGATGATAATTAGTGTTTTCTAGAGTAGAGGCTATGGTGATTAATGATGTACACATATCTCAAAAGACACTTTTAGGCATTGCTATTGAGTTAAGAGAAAACAAATTTGTGTTTTGCAATTTTGGATAAGAATTAGTAAGGGGAAGTTTCTCTTTGCCATTTGTAAATGATAATTCAACTATTTTCTATGGTTTATATAAAGGAACTCATTACAACTAATTTAGTTGACTGCGTCAACTCTAAAAGAAGATTGTCTTCTTGTATAGTTTGAACTATAACATAGGCCGAGTAACTATAATGTGTATATACCTTATTCGTATTGTGTGATAGACGTTTATGCTTAGGTAAATGGTTATTTGTGATGTGTATCCAGTTTTTCCTTTGTTTTCAAGTAGTCTTATGATTCTTCAAAAAAACTTGAGTGATCTTTGTTTATTACATCAATGAACAAAGATGAGGTAACATTTTTTGTAAGTTATGTGCAAGATTAATGGGATGGGATGGTTGATGGTTCAGCCGTCGGAACATTACAAATAAGAATAATCTGAAGTTATGATTTTATAACCACCAGATAGCCATTAACCGTTAAACTATAAAACATAAACGAAATTGGTTTTGATTGTAAGTGTCAC